TGGAGGTGCGGGACGACTCCCCCCGCCACGGGGGCCCCCCCGGCGCCGAGACGCATTTCGGGGTGCTGGTGGTGAGCGGGCGCTTCGCGGGGCTCCCCCCGCTCCAGCGGCACCGCCTGGTGCACGAGGCGCTGCGGGACGAGCTGGCCGGGCCCCTGCACGCCCTGCAGATCGTCGCCCGCACCCCCGAGCAGTGGCAGAGCGACCCCCAGGCCCCCCCGGCGCCCCCCTGCCTGGGGGGCTCCAAGCGGGACAAGGAGAAGAAGAAGAAGGAGGAGGAGGAGGAGGCGGCGGCGGGGCAGCAGTGACAGCAAAGCGGGGGAGGAGCGGCCAGAACCCACCCTGGTGTCAGTGTGGGACCCCCAGGACCCCCACCCTGGTGTCAGCGTGGGACCCCCAGGACCCCCACCCTGGTGTCAGCGTGGGACCCCCACCCTGGTGTCAGTGCAGCAGGAGGGGGGGCAGAAATATGGGGCTGATCCCCCACTCCCCCCCACATCGTCCCCAGCCCCCTCATATCACACTCAACTCCCCCCACATCACCCCCTGTCCCCCCACAGGACCCCCCCCACTCCCTCCCCCTCTCCTCACTCCCACTCTTGTCGGGGGGGGTGTTTAGGGGGGTCCCTCCCCATTTAATTTAATTTCCAAGTGAATTCACCCTCCCGCCGCCCCAAAACCAAATAAATGTGTTCTTTTGAAGGAAGGGGCGTGAGGGCAGCTCAGAGTCCAGCAAATCCTTTTGGGGGAGCATTTTTGAGGTCATTTTGTGCTTTTTTTTTTTTTTTGGGGTGGGTTTGGTTGGTTGTTTGGGTTTTTTTCCATTTTAATTAATTTACAAACACCTGAAACTACAGCACGGCACGACAGAGCTACGGGGGGGGGGCCCGGGGGGGCCCCAAGGACCAGCTACACCGAGGGGGGGACAAAGCACACAGGGGGGGCTGCTCAGAACAGGGGGGGGGCGGCCCGGGGAGGGGGGGGTGGGGGGGGCTCTGACCAACCCTAGGGAGTTGATCTGGGGGGGGAGGCACAGCATTGGGGACCCCCTGAACCCCGATTTCTTATAGGAGGGGGGCACAGCACTGGGAACCCACCCTGAACCCCGATTTTTTTTTGGGGGGGGGGTGTTTGTGCTTTGCAAACCCCTGGGGGGTTTGGGGGGGGGGGGGGGGGGGGGGGGGGGGGGAAAGGGGGGGAGGGGGGGGGGAAAGGGGGGGAAGGGGGGGTTAAAAGAGGGTGCAGGGAGATATGGGGGTGCAGGAAGGGAAACAGGGCTGGGAGGAGGGAAAAGGGGGTGCAAGGATCTCCCCTCACCCACACCTCCCCCCACAAGAGGGAAAAATCCTTTAAAAATCAGTTAAAAAATCACTAACTGGCAGTTTTGGGGGTCCCCCCACTGGATCCCAAAATGACACCAAGGACTAGGGGTTGTGGCCAGGGGGGGAATGTGCTTTGCATCCCAAAAGTTGGGCACCCCAAAGCGGGGGCACCCCCGGAGGAGGGGGGGGGGAGGGTGTGTGCTTTAACCCTAAAAATATTGGGCACCCCCGGGGGAGGGGGGTCTGCACCCCAAATTGCTGCACCCCCCCCCAAAGGGACCTGCACCTTAATATCCTGTGCCCCCTCACCCCCCGAGGCATTGCCAGGGCACCCCAAGGCCTCTTGCACCTCAAAAGGCCACCCACCTCCCCTCTCCCAGGGGAACCCCCCCCCCCCCAAAATCCTTGTGGGGACCTTGCTGGGTGCTCTCCCTGGGGATGGGGAAACTCAGAGCCTTCATCCTCCTCCTCCTCGGCTCAGCAGGGATTCAGGGGGTGCACAGGGCCTGTGTGTCCCCCCCTCCCCAAGGCTGGGGCCCCCCCAAACCCCACAGCCCCCCCAGGAACGAGCAGCGACTCACGGAGGGGGGGTGACACCGAGAAAAGAAATGGGAGGGCTCAGAGGGATTTTGGGGGTCGTGGTGGGGGAGGTTGGGCGGTCGGGAGCAGGTTTGGGGGGGTCTCAGGGGGGGAGCTTTGGGGGTGTCAGAAGGATCTGAGGGAGGGGGAAGGGGCCAAGTGCAAATGAAAAAGTTCCCAAAATGCTCCAAGAAGACGTTTCACAGTGTCTAACGCGACTAATCCCGGGGGCACGGGGCGGGGGGAGAGGCTGGATTTGGGAGGGGGGGGGGATACCCCGGGGAGGAGGAGGAAGAGGAGGAGGAGGAGGGGGCAAGGGGGGTGTTTCCCTCTCCCCCAGCCTCCCCCATCACTGCAGGACCTGCCCCCGCGTCTCGGGCAGTTTGAGGGCCAGGGAGCTGCCGAGGGCCAGCGCGGCCGAGGCCAGGAGGATGGGCACGGCCTTGGTGATGCCCACGAAGGAGGTGAAGATGCTGATGCCCAGCACGGCCGCCAGCTTGCACAGCGCGTTCAGGAACCCGAACGCCGTCGTCCTGGGGGGGTATGAGGGAATGGAGGGAGGGGGGGGTTCGTGTGAGTGGGGGGAACCCCAAAACAGGCACCCAGCGCCCCGAGATGAGCACCCAGTGTCCCGGATCGGGGACTCGGCACCCCCGAGGTTGGCACCCAGTGTCCTGAAACCAGCACCTGGCACTCCAAACTGGGACTCAGCACCCCGAGATCGGCACCCAGTGCCCTAAAACTCGCACTCAGTGTCCTGAAACTGGCACCCAGTTCCCCGAAACTGGCACCTGGTACCCTCAACTGGGACCCGGCACCCCTGAGGTTGGCACCCAGTGCCCCAAAACTCGCACCCAGTGTCCCGGAACTGCACCCTTGCACCCAAACCCTCACTCCTTGCACCCAAACCCTCACTCCTTG